ATGTCATTTGATGGTTTTTCCTCATTTCAGTCTTGTTTTTCAATTAGACTTGCTTTAATTTGTTTCACAATAAATATATTTAATAACCCATTACTTTACAAGTTCTCTCATTTAGAAGACTTCACTAAAAGGGATATTGTTTATGGACTCATTATGCACAATGATGACTTTCTGGTAAATGCTATAATCACTCTTTGTACATTTTAAATACACAGATCTAAACATACAAAGGTGGCTTTTGTAAAAATTTTATTTCATACTTTAAAGCCCCTATTTTATGAAAACAAAAGATGCAGTGAAACCGTTGAACACAACTGAAGCATATGATTTAGTTAGTAAGCCCAAATTTACCCCTTTATTTTGTCTTCCTTTTTTTAAAACTGAAAGCTAATTTCTTGTAATCACCTGCTCCAAAGGAATGTTGCAGGAGCCATGTTGTTATATATTAATTCTTGTTTTTGCATCAATAAAAAAAACAAAACAAAAAAGCCTCTTCTAATGCCGCACACAAATGCCTCACCGTTTTAAGGGTGGGTCGTGTGTATCCTTAAATAAATCATTGCGAACACTGAAGATTTTTTTTTTTTAAATTGCGGACGGTCGTAGAACGAAATAAATGTTTAAAAGTAAGTACCGGTGTGACGGGTTTCAACGTCACGTGGCCGCTCAGCTGCGCTGTCATGTGATAGAGAATGTGCGCGCGCGTACAGCGTCTTGTCAGCTAGCGCTCAGGATGGACTGCAGAGAGTCGGCGTTATTAGTGTCCGTTCTCCTCTTGGCTTTGGATTTGTGCTCTGCTCAGAATTATGTCCTGAGCGATGACGGAGGGCTGGGAAGGGTTTTTGATGGAATTGGAGGTTTAAGCGGCGGAGGGGTGAGTTTAGTGTATTTTACTAGAGTACTTCCTTGTACGACACTGCCTCCACAGGAACAAGCTGATCTATGCATCCCTGCGTGTTTCTGTTTCTCTGATTAGCTTATCATTTTACTAACAGAACATTTCTACCTGTGCCTTAATGTAGGCGACGTCTCGGTTACTGGTGAGTTATGCGGAGCCATACCGCAGCCAGATACTAGACTTCCTGTTTAAGGTACGACAGAAGCAACGCATTCACACGGTTCAGTTTTAAGCACGGGAACTCACTGCTCTGTGTTCCTATTTTCAGCCAAACTTTGGAGCTTCTTTGCACATTCTGAAGGTGGAGATCGGAGGAGATGCGCAAACTACTGGTAAAGTACATTTAGTCACACTACATTCCTGACAGTTTCTAATTTGTTACTTGTTACATTTCCATTTCTCTGCTGCCAGGTCTGAAATGCATTATGACCCACAGCTAAAGTCCAACAGAATGACACAAATTCCTTCTTAACAAGGAAACACTGTGACATCTGCTTCATATGGATCTTAAAGTCTTGTATGGATAGGATATTGGCTATAATCACCACATATTTTGGTGCTGGGGTCGTGATAGACACTTTGGATCATAGTATAACTTCAAGAATAAACTGACTCTCTCCATTTTTTTTTTGGTATTCTTGAACCTCTGACTTGATCAGATGGAACAGAGCCGTCTCACATGCGCTATGAAAATGATGAGAACTACTACAGAGGCTATGAGTGGTGGCTTATGAAAGAGGCCAAGAAGAGGAACCCAAATATCACACTCATAGGTAAGAAGGAATATTGTTTCCTTTTCTGTCTGATAACTTGACAGCAGTAAAGTAGACATCAGAGGGAAAATGTCATAGTAGGAAACTAAGATTTAGAATCTACATGTGTTGTTACAAATGACCACTCCTGCTTTTCTTGGCATGAACACATTTGGTATTACTGGCAAACCTCATGGAATTTCTGCCAGAACTTTCCACCCATTTACTTCTATCTGGAGATTTTGTTGTATTTTTTTATTTTTATTTTTAAATTTGAATAAAGTAGTTTTGATATAAATGTTACAATTCAATGCATGCAGTTATTTTATATAGAATGTAAATAATACAATAATATTATTGATATTATTGAAAACTTTAACAAGTCTAACAAGTCTGCTCAGTTTGTTGGATAGATGGTGGGGGTGATTGGAAATGTGACCAGATAGTGAAATTTATATTAAATGTAACACAAAAAGAATCATTGTCTTTTCTTGTGTGTCTGCTTGTTTTCATATAGGTTTGCCCTGGGCGTTTCCCGGTTGGGTGGGCCGTGGCAAGAACTGGCCCTATGACTACCCGGATGTCACTGCAACATATGTGGTGAACTGGATCCTTGGTGCCAAGCAGTACCATGACCTAGACATTCAGTATGTTGGGGTGTGTATACCACTTCTCAGATTAGAATGCAGCTCTGCACAAACCCACAAAATTCATGCAATAATCATCTCTACTTCAACACACGTAAATCTGTGTTGAAGTAGAGATAATTATTGCTTTTGTGGTCCTTACAGAGGCTGCTTCCTCAAAAAGTGAATGCTTTGCAGCTTGGTGGCTTTTGGCCTGTTTTGAACTTTCCTTTCATAACAGGATTATAATTAATTAATATAGCTATTAATTATAATTCTTTGTTGCATTTCAAACACACACACATTCATTTTTGAGCTCTGGTTAAACTGTTTGAACATCTGACTGCTTGCATTATCTCTCAGTATCTCTGGCATTCTCAGGATTTTAATAACCAAAAGTAGTAATGGTCAAAACTTCTAAACACTAAGCAGTTATTTGCAGCCACCTAGTGACAGTAAATTCTCTAATTTAAGTTCTGTTACCAACATCTGTATTTCATCAAATATAAACCAGGAATTGGAACAAATATGGACCTCTAGTAGCAGATGTGAATCTGGTCAATGTGACCAAGTGAAAGCCAGCCCACAAACACAGGGAGGAAAAAAGTAGTTCTGTTAATGTTAAATGTTACTTATTGCTCTCTACAGTAACTTACATGGCTTTGATTCATTCATGTTGTCTTAATCTTGTGTGACTGTTGTTGCATGGAATTAGCCCTGTTAGAAAATGAAGGGTTTCTGTCCACTAAAGTGTGACTTTAACATGGTAAGTGGGAACATATCAAAACCTGACTTTGTTGTAAAATGTGACAGATGACATTTATTAGTTGCTTAGTACTGAAGGCCTGCCTGGAATATAAAAGTCATCTTTGTCCGTTGAGGTAAAGAAAGGCTGTTTTCATTATTTTGCAAATACTGTGTTCAGTTTGCTATAAAGCCTGTTGCATCAAAGCTTTACCACGTGATACTGGATTGATGGATTTGCCTTAGCAGGAAATTGAGCCTGCAAAAGTTTGTTTGCAAACTAAAATTCTCTTTCATCCATTCAGATCTGGAATGAGCGAAGCTTTGACATCAAGTACATTAAGGTAAACATAACTTACTGTTATCTTTCATTGTACTTTTGTCATAATGAGTAGCCTGCAATGTAAATTGAAGTAGAAAAACAGCCACTAACATTGAGTTGTCCTCCTGAGAGATGCAGTGTGACGGTGTTTGGGATGATTTTAAAGCTCTAGCTGAGTTCCACTGAGAGCATGTCTTTGTCGCCAAAGGTGCTTCGGAACATGCTGGATAAAGTTGGTCTAATTGGTGTTGGCATCATCGCAGCAGACGGCGATTGGAGCGTCGCTAATTCTATGATCCTTGACCCATATCTTAATAATTCTGTTGATGTGATTGGGTAAGTACAGTTCATTTCAAATTTCAAGTTTGAAATGAAATGTTCCCACTGCGTAAATCATTGGACCAGATGGCACAGTAAAAGCAGAACTTTTACCATGTGCTATAAGTTTACTTGAAGGCTATTTGGTGCTTGACAACTGATTGCGTAAATCCGAAATGTCCACTGAGTTTGGGTGCGTCTCTGTTAAAGCACACTCTTCTTCCACAAGTACCCAGCTGAATGTTTGTGGCTGTTATTCTGCTGGACTTGAAAGATAAAGTCGGAGCTGAATCATGTGTAGGTGTGTTGCTGCCGAAAAAAATTTCAGATCTGCCACATTTCTTAGGTGGTTTTAAAGCTGCATTAAAAAAAATTTTTAAACATGAATATTGACCCAATACAGAAAGTAATCATAAGTGCTGAGAATTTTTTTTTTTATTGAATTTGGAGTGTAATTTGCATCTGTTTCTCCTGGGTGACAGCATGTTGATGTGCCACTGTAGGGAAAAAACGAATGACTACAGTTGTGCCACACACTTATAAAATCAAGCACCTAGGCATGCAGACTGCTTCTACAAACATTTGTAAAAGAATGGGTCGCTCTGTGTGATGTGTGATGCTGGAATTCATGGCATCACACAGTGAATTCCAGTGTGAAGCCGTCATAGGATGCTACCAGGACAACAAGTTGTTTTTCAAGAGTTGTGTTCAGCCTCTTATTTCCAGTGAAAAGAAACAGTCCATAGATCACAGTTTTGAGCCATTTTATTGATTTATTGGTTTTAACTCGGTGGGCGTGATTGCGGATGCCACGCAGGTGCATCCACACTGCCCCACACACCACACCCCACTACAAACACATAGTGAAACACTGTCAGTCATGGACTGACCCATTAACATTACTGAAGCAGTGTAGCATCATCTTGACTGAACAGAACAAAAGGCAGCTTGTTAAGGAATAAAGGTAACCATACCAAATATCAAGAGTTAGTGTAAAAGCAGATGAAGCTGATCACCAGCCTCAATCCCTGCCCCCCTCAAATTTCCTTTCCTGGACACATGACTGTGATAGCTGGCCTGGTGAAGAGACAGCTGGAGTGAATACATCTATGTTCCGTTTCCTAGTGTAATATAAAGAAAAAAAAGGAAAGGTTCAAGACTTTACAGTAACATTGTAGCATCAGAGAGCACCAAAATGTATCAAACATTATATGAAGGACTGGGAGCCATAACCTCAATGATGACTTATAATATCTTCTCTTCTCTTTTGGCTCTCGGCGAAGGCAGTCGCACTTTTCTCCTCTCCTCCTTCCCCTTATCTTCCCTGCTTAGCCTCTTGTGTCCTTGTCTTGTCTCGTGTTTTTACTTTCCCTGGAACACTCTCTCACAGTCTGTTCTCTAAAACCTAAAATAGAATTATGGATTTGATCAACTGGTCTCTGAATGCTATTGACACCCTTTTCTCAACGAGAAGTCTGGGCTTGGGAGAGCCCGAGTGCCCTGGAGGGACCTTCCCTGCCAGATACACGATGGACGGGTGGCAGACATGGAGGATCGTGTGCCTGGCGGGACTGTCGATCGAGGACGCTGAAGATATCTACCTATTCGGAACCATGATAACAGGGTTCTTGCTGATCGGAGATGGCTTGGCCCTGGCTTATCGGAAAATTAAGAAAGCGGAATCGGCTGTTCAAACCCCCCAAGGCTGCCCGCTGGGATTGAAACGGTGGGACGAGGCGCGACTTCTCAGAATGGGCTCACTGAGTGCAGCATGGTTAAGAGCTTGGAGAAGCTTACGGCTGCCGTGAATACTCAGAATAAGACCTCTGAGCGTATATTGGATTACATCAAGGAGAAGATCACTCAGAATAACATCTCTGAGGGAAAGTTGGATTACATCGTGAAGCAGCTCACTGCAGTCGTGAGTAGGGATAGGTATCGTTTAGGTTTTATCCGATACCGGTGCCAAACCGGTACTTTTGAAACGGTGCCAGTGCTCAAACCGGTGCTTAATGAATGGAGAACACAAAATTGGTCCAAAAACCTCTCATGTTCAGCGTTTTTTTTGTAAAAAGATAACAATGGTAGCCTTTTCTGCAGCTATGGGGCATATATGGTATCATTCTTGGCTGGAAGCAGTGCTTAAACAATGGAAAAAACACAAACTTTGTCCAAAAACCTCTCATGTTTAACTGTTTTCCACTT